GATGCCTACGAAAACGAGCGGTCGATCGAGCCGCTCGAGACGCTGCGCCGGGCATTCTTGAAGTCGGTGCAAATTGAAGTGACCTTGGTCATGCGTGGGCTCGACGCCATCCACTGCCCTCCTCCAGCGTAGCTTCTTTTGGAGCTACTAGACTAGACTAGCTCTACTTTCAATTTCCGATGTCATCTCAATGCAATTCCGTATCAAATATCACTGATCAAAGTCGCTTTTTCTCGCTAGACAAAGAGCTCTACTCTCCTAGCGGTGGCCCTCTGCGCCGTTGGGGCTTACGCAGATTTCGCGCTGCTTGGCGTGGCGTCACCAAGGGCACAAGAGTTTGTAGAAAGCATGTGCAACACAACGTTAACGACGCTTATATCACTATAATACTACGCGGACTGGCGCCTGTCACCAAGACCCACCAACGCGCTTCTACAACTACTGGGCAGTTGATGGAGGGAACAGCTGCATGCGAGGATGCACTGTCAGGCCCGGTCCGTGTTGCATCGCGTGCATCTTACGCGACCACGCCATCATACCCGTCGTCGTACTCGTCGGCGTACGGCTCGGGCTCGGAGGCCGCGTCCTGGGTCGCAAACTTGACCGAGAGGCACCGGTTGTGGAGCGTCTTGAGGATGTTGAAGAGGTCCGAGTACAGATCTTGGTTGGACCGGCAGTCGCCTTGCGACTCGAGAAAGCACTTTTCGTTGGCGAGGCGGCGGAGGAAGACGATGTGTCCATCTTGCACCTTCGGGTCGAACGCGCCGTTGATCTTGTTGTAGAAACTCACAATCTCGTTCTCGGCCATGCAAATGTGCGTGCGCTGGTGCAGCTCGTCCAGAAGCGGCTTGGACACGTCCTTGACGTCTTGGGGCGTCAAGTACTTGTTGGCAACGCAATCGTTGATCTCGGTCGTGAGGTCGTTCCACGTCGGCACCCAGTAGTTGGAGCTCAGAAGGTCCCAGTCGCTGCGCGAGACGCCCGGGAAGCAGCTTGACGCGTCGCCGCCGTTGTTGGCGCGGCAGGCGTAAAAGGCGCAAAAGTACAACACGCCGTTGCCTTCGAGGATCGGCTGCTTGGCGAGGCCGCCGTTGTTGGCCGCAATCTCAGCGATCGTGCGGACACGGAGCGTCGCGTCGTTGCGGTTCGTGATCGTGTTTTGGCCGTCGAGGAGCCCAAAGAGCGTGTCCGGGTTGGTCCACAGCAGCGGCGACAAGTCCTGGCCATGGTTGTCTTCCTCGGCCAAATTGGTGTGGAACAAGCACTTTTTGACGAGGTACCCGACACCGGCCGTGTCGACGGCCGCCGACGTCTTGCACTGCTTGAGCGCTCGAAGGCTGTACGTGATGTCGCCAGCATCGCGCTGGTACGGGAAGTAACCGAGCGCTGGGTTGCTCAAGAGGAGATCCTCGACGTTGTTACAGTGGAAGCGGGCGTTCGTCTCGGACGTGTCCCAGCCCGTCGCCGCGTTGGACGTGCAGCGCGGCAGCTGCACACGGTACGCACTCCCGCCATACACCGAGTACGGCGCCGTCGGGTTGTAGTTGCCGGACCGGCGCCACAGCGTCGGGTAGTTGGCAATCTTGTCGGGCTGGCACGCAATGACGCTGCTGATGAACTGGTGGAGCTTCTTGAGGTACAACACCGGTCCCTCAATGGGGTTGACAGCCGCCGACGCCGCATACCGCTCGATGAAGAGAATGCGCACCGTGTTTTCCGTGAGGCACTGGACCGTCGCAAGCGTGATCGACGTGTACTGGCTCTGGAGGCACTTCTCCTCCTGGTACGCATCGCAGTAGTTGGCTTTCGGTGGCGCCTGCGTCGCTGGCGCCTTGTAGCCTTGCGGCTTCTTGGTCGGCTTCCCGTACCCCTTTGGCTTGGGCTGGGGCTTGCTGTAGCCTTCTTCGGTTTCGGCGAGGACCGACCGGCTGCGACCGTATCCATAGCCGCGCGTCCCGTCGTGGTCTTCGGCCGTGCCGTACCCGTGGTAGAACGCGTCGCTGCCCTTGGGCTCGACTTTGCCCGAGCAAATGCCGTCAGCCGCCGTCGTCATGGCGTAGTACATGGAGAAGCACTGGTCCAAGAAGTAGTCGCGCAACGACCGACCTCCGCAGTTGGTCCACGGCGCGCCGCTCAAGAAACAGTGGAACGTGTCGAGCGGCGGCAAACTGAGCGGCGGCTCGTCCTCAAGCGTGATCGTCGGAAACGGGGCGTCTACCTTGGGCGCGCGCGGCTCGTAGCCGTCCGTGTACTCAACGTACTTCTTGTCGTCAGTCCGGTACGGCGAGTTCTTGTACATGGACGCCGGGTACGCGTCGTAGCCAGCCGGCTTCTTGGTCTTCTTGTAACTGGTAGGCTCGTCGTAGCCGTTCGACTTTGGTGCGCCGTAGCCGTCCGACTTTGGTGCGCCGTAGCCGTCCGACTGGGGTGCGCCGTAGCCGCTGGGTTGCCCATAGCGGCGCGGCTTGGGCGCGCCGTAGCCAGCGTCTTCCTCCTCGTCGCCGTAGCCCTGCGCGGGCGCGCCATATCCGGTTTCTTCTTCGCCGCCATACCCATCGTCGTGCGCGTAGTTGTCGTCGTAATCGCCGTAGCCATCGACTTGGCCATAGCCATCGTCGGTGTAGTCGTCGTCACGTCCGTAGCCACGACCTTGGGCCATCGCCGAGAGGGCGAGCGCACTGACCGTCAGTGCGACGACAGGAGCAATCTTCATGTCGCTGTCGGAGGTCTTATTCGCGAATGGAGGATCGCTACGCTCGTCGACCGCGATCCTGGTCAGCGTCCGTTTCAAGATCCCGCAACCTTGTGGCGTACCTTACGTAGATTAAATCCAAATGTCGTGGCCAATCACATGCGTGGATGCAATATTTTGTGGCCAATCGCCACGCGCGCTAAGATCGCAATGTACGAAGGTGCCGTACACATCAGAGATACCAATGTACGTACGGGCCGTACAATCCTGTGCGTACGGAAATACGTTTTCAGAGTTTCTGCGCATATCCACACCGCGCACATATGTATTGATAGAGGTCCATTACCTCTCATACTGGATCTTGAACTTGCGATGTTCGAATCTTTTTTTTAATATTTTGCACTCCATATTAAAAGCAAGGTATTTGGCCAATCACGTGAAAATAATTTCGAGACGTTGCACGCGTAGCGCACTTAAGCGGGTTGGCAGAACGCCGGAGCTCATTCATTCCGCAACACCTGATCGCGCTCGATGGCCGCGCCGGCCAAGGCGACGACGCCCCGCCTCCATGTGACGGACTCGGGCAAGATCCAGGACCAGTACTACCATGCGCAGGCGAGCTCCCGGACGATGGGTCTCCTCATGCGTCGCTCCATGGACCACCGGCGGTCCAAGCAGTCCAAGCACAAGCGCGCCGAGGACCGCTTCACGGACGCTGAGATCGCGTTCGCCGGCAACTTGACCAAGCAAGGCTCGTTCTGGCGCACGTGGCGAAAGCGCTACTTCATCTTGCGCCGCGACCGCCCGATGCTATGTTACTACTCGTCATCCAAAGAGCTCACCAAGCTCGGCGAGATCACGTTGGACGCCGATACGATCATTGAACCGGTCGAGTCGTCGTCGTCGTCGTGCTTCTTCTTTATCAAGACCAAGCACCGCAAGCTCATTGTCAATGCGAGCGACGGCGGCGACGCGTACATGCGCGGGTGGATCGATGCGCTCAACGTCGCCGTCGAGTCGTGTCGCACCACCGTGCCCTTTGCCTTTAAGAACGCAACGCCGCTCTCCGACCACGAGAGCGTCCGTGGACGCAGGATGAGCGACGCGATCGACATTGCTCGGCCGTCGCTAACGTCCGTCGCGTCCGATGCCCCGCCGCCCATTGTGCCATCAATCCACACGACCGAGTTCGCACCACCGTCGCCACGGCGCGCGGCCAGCAGCCGCGAGCCCTCGCCTGACTACCGCGCGTCAGTCCCGACGTTCTCGCCGGCCTTTTTCGCGCAGCTGCCGCCCCGCCCGACAGACGACAGCTCGAGCATGCGGCGGGCACGGAGCCTCAACGAGCTGTTGAACCGGACGCGTGTCACCCGCGCGTCTGACAGCGGCAGCAACGACAACAATACCAAGCTTGCGCCGACGCTCATTGCGAGCAGCTGGACCGAGCGCAACCACAATGCGTCGTTTCTGTCGCGGACGGCCAAGACCGAGGCGGCCGACCACCGCGGGTTTGGGCTGCAGTGCCAGAGTCTCAGTCTCGTGCACATGCGGCCGCCGGACGCTCTCCACTTTGCGATTTCATTTGGTTCGATCGAGAAGGTGCCGCACAGCGTGCCACTCCTCGTCGTGCTCAGCGTTCTCAACTGGGAGCCGGATGCCACGACCAAGAAGCAGGCGATGACCGAAGTCGCACGCACCGAAGTCGAGCGCACCAATCATCTGCGTCCGTGCGGCGACCGCCTCGTGCGGGACTTTCAGGGGCTCCTCGCGCTGCCGCTCTTTCTTCTCGAGCCGCATATTGTGCTGCAGCTCGACGTGTACATTGTCTCGAACGACACGACCGAAGCGCTCAAGCACCACAAGCTCCTCGGGTACTTTACGATTGCGGCCACGGACCTCGTTGTCGACTCGGACGACGGGACGCCGCTGCTCATGGATTTGCGCTTTGACGGCCGGAGCACGACGAACATTCTCGGAAGCCGGAATTTTCTTGTGCTCGAGCAAGTCGCGACGCCGCCGCCGTATGCGCTCGCGCACGGGTACACGTTTGCGACGCACCAGTACCTCGTCGACACGGCCGAGACGTCGCCGCCCAACGAGCCACCGGTGACCGACGAGCCGCGCGTCGGACCCCGGGCCGCGACCGACGTGCTTCTCTCGGAGGAGATGTCGGCGAGCTACTGCTCGCTCACGGTCGTCCACGCCTATGTGCAGATGCTCCAGACGCGCAACGCGGCCCGGATCGCCGAGACGCGCGATGTGATTCGCACGATCGAAGCCCGCGACGTCCAGCGGTCGGTCATGACGTCACCGCACGCAGGCGACGCCGCCGTCTTTACGGACAATGACGCCGACGACGTCGAGAAGAGCTATACGACGTACCTTGAGACGCGCACCCGCCTCATTGAGCTCAACAAGCTCCAGTCGACGTACGAAAGCATGGAGCGACGGTACAGCGCGCTCGTGGCCATGGTCGACGACGGCGGCGAGCACGGCATCACAAGCTGCCTCAAGCGCAGTACGATGAAGAAGGACCCGAGCGTCGAGTTTATGCCAACGAACCTCGTGTGTCACTTGCTCCGCGCGGCGCTGCCGAATCATGACGAGATTGCGTGGTCGACGATCACGCACGGCTGCGCCGCGGCCCACCTGCTTGGCTTCAAGGACGGCGGTCTGCGGCGCCTGCTCCAGAACGGCAGGTCGCTCCACGAGGACCAAATCGAGTACCGGCTCGACGTGGTGCTGTGCCAGCTCTTGTCGGTCATCGCAGCGGCCTTCTTGAGCTATGTGCAGCTGGCTGCCGATGATGTGCACGATGTGTCGGGCGCGCGCCTCCGCATGCTGCCGCGCGTCGGGTTCCTCGTCGACATCGAGTCGCTTCTCAGCACCGCCGGCAACGAGAAGGGTATGCTGGAAGACATGGCCGAAGGCGTCAAGTACGTCAACCAAAAGGCCGTGTATTTTCAGGTTACGCCGGCGACGTCGTCATCGGGGCACTGCATCTCGATGGCGACCGACAACGCCGGCGCAATCGTGCTGCAGGTCGCGCTGCCGTCGGCGCTCTTTACCAAGCTGCCGCTCTCGTTTTATGCGCAGCCGCGCATCCAAGTCCACGCTGTGCTGTTCACACAAGGCATCAACGAGCGCCAATCGGTGGCCAACACGGTCGGCGACACGAGCGTCCAGGAGGACATCAACGTCGAGAGCATGGTGACGCTGGCCGCGTACGTCGAGCAGTACGTGACGCTTGGCGTCTCGCACGAGCCGTCGCTCTTGCCGTTCGCCGAGATCCAATCGCAGCTCGCGCTCGTCGTGACGGCGGTCGAGTCGCAAAAGAAATCGTTGAAAAACGTCAACGTGCTCGTGGACTCGAGCTACCTCTGCCGCCTCGTGGGCGCCGGCCGGACCACGTGCTGCAAGTCGGGCAAAGACCGCACGGCCATGTCGGTCACCCTCGAGCTCACGCGCCTCTTGGTGGACGTGGTCGGTGTCAAGCAAGGCCTGTGTCTCTGCCAAGCCATGCGCGAGCGCGGCGTCCGGCGCACAAACGTGCTCGTCAACACGGGCAAGACCATGTACGCGTTCAACTCGCTCCAACTCAAGTGCCTCCCAGCCTGCTACAAGCCACCCGTCGCGACCGCCAACGCCAACGTCGCGTCCTAGTAGTAGTCGGAAAGGCCATTATAGCACTATTTAACATGATTCCGCTGTACGACGCCGAGAAGGAACGATTTGCTGCTGAAAGGCCGCAAGAATTTCGGGACATGAATGTACATCCAAAAGGCCGGCACCTATGCACCTATGTGAGCATGAGAAACAGCCCGCGATTATGGCTCAAGACAAGGGACTAACAACAATGTCGTATTCCCTTGGCTCAAGATGACCATCGCCGATGTTGCGTTTGGGAGTGCGGTATCGCGATTGCTTTTTAACACAGAGCGTTAATAAATATCAAATGCTGTTTATCTTTGATTGACGAAGGCGCGCGATCCAGACCCCTTCCGACGCCACAACATAGTGCGCTCTATGAGCAAAAGCATTCTCTACGGTCTTGCCAAGTTTGAGCGAAGTCATTTTGAAACGCAATTTTGGCGATCGAGAGCCCTGGAAGCGCCGGCGCGATATGCACACCTCCATTCATTGGCCAAAAACATTTTGATTGACCAATCAAATCGCTCGAAATTGGCATTAGGCTCGGCAGCGACCGCGCCTTTGGCGGCCAGTTTGCCCTTTTTGTACGAACACTTACGTTGTGCGCGTCGACACCAACACATCGACAACGCATCACACACACATTTTCATTGGATGGCGTTTTTGCCCACTTGATACCTTGAAAATCGGGGCGCGACCGCTAAAGATCCAACCGGGGTCGACCGAGCATGATCGTGGGCAAGAGCTTGTGTGATGGACCGTCTGAGGCGCCGCCCGTACGCTAACGAACACACGTCAGCGACCTTACAGTATGTGGTTTGCAGGCGCCGCCGATGCCGCCGGTCGTCTCGCCCATCCAGAACCCGTCCAACGTACTGCTGTTTTTCTACTCACGTCAAGCCTCACACCGTATAGCACGTCTTCAAGAAGCGCCGCAAGGTGCAAGAGGTAGCCAGCCATATGTCCTTGCTTGCGTTGGGCTCAAGTCTTGCGGTTGGCAGCGTCTCTTTTTGCGTCCGCTCTCGAGTGCGCTGGGTGCCGCGACAGCAATCGGCGGACCCGAAGAGTCGACAGCCACCGATGAGGACGCGTACCTCCCACGAGAATACAAAGCACCTGCACTGTGCAATCGTTAGGGTGCGCAAACCAACGCGCGCAGCGTCCCGACGTGCCACAACTAAGGACCCGCTGGGCGCGACGAGCCCAACCAAGGCATCCCGTGCTGCGCTGCGCAAGCGCCAACTGCAGTGCAGTGCGTCGGAGCCGACGCTGCGCCCCATGTCGCGGGCAGCAACGCCACATGCCTTCAACGACGCGGTGCAGCCGCTGCCGGGCACGCACGTCGCCGCGCTCGCCGAGAGTTTGTCGGCAGCCTTTGTACAGCAGCATTTTCCGTCCTCTTACACCCAAGACACGGGTTCGTAGCCCTCTCTTGGGTCCATATCGAATCTTACGGGGACCAAGGAGTCGCTGGGCACCTCGCGCTTGACCCCGACATTCAGGAGTATTGTCGGCGCGGTACGTTCTGTACCAGTCTTCGTGGTGTCACCCGACTGCAGGCCCCGTCGCGTCCGTGTGCCGGGACCTCGGCACGTTCTGGCTCACCAACATGCTTCGTACCTATGACATTCCTCGGACGACACCGTATGCTCTATCCATGACGCGACGGCGTAAACGTCCGTTGTACTAGCGTCGACTGTGCCCGCGTCGAAACGCAGCTGCAGACTGTCATTGCGCACGCCAAGCAGCACTTTCAGTCGTCGGACGCTGCGTTCACGGAGCAACTCATGGACGTCGTGGCCGCCAACGTACTTTCGCACTGCTCGTCGTCAACGGATTTTATGCAGACGGTGGCGGGGCACTACCGCGAGCTCCTCACACGGTTGCCGTTTCTCCTCGACGAACGCGAACGCAAGCTCGAGGTTGCCGCCGGCACGATCGCGTCGCTCGAGGTGGACCCTGCATCCTGTGATCTCAAAGGAACGACGCAACTGTAGAGCAAAATCTGTGACCTTCGTGCTTTGCACACGAGTGCGCAAGACGAGACCGAGGCAGCACAACGCGAGTGGCAGCGCGCGCAAGCCGCACACCGAGCGATCGAGGTGCGCCTGCAAGACATGGCCGTCGTCGTCGAAGGCGCTGTCGCCGCAGAACTGGCCCAGACCAAGGCCCTGCGCGAGAGTCAGCTGCAGTACGACAATACCGCATCCACTTACTTGTGCCAGGCGATGCTGCGTAGAGCGCAGGAGCAGCAGTACACGTATGAAATGCGTATCAACGCGCTGCAGATTGAGGCGCAGGACTTGACGTCGAGCGTCCAAGAGCTCCATGCCGCCATCGATTCCAAAGACGCTGCGCTCGCCCTTTACGCCCACGTAAGAACACTACTATTCATCTCAATGGTCCATGGTCGAGCTAGGTCCAGAGCGAGCGGGACGCCGCCTGTGCCGATATTGGAGTACGAAATATCTTCCTGCAGCGAGTCGTATCGCCTGGCTTAGGAGCTCACTGAGCAGCTCGCAGCGCTCTCGGCCGCACACAAAGAACTCGTGGTGCGTCATGAGGACGCCATGCGCACGCAGCAAGTGCTTCTCTTCCGGCTCAGTGTCGTCGACGCCACGTCCGACGACATGCCCACCGTACTGCCACGTTTTTGTCGGTGATGCATTATAGTTGCAACGGGATTAGGGGTCAAACCCGTCGCCTGAGAGTATGAAAAACATCAAAATTCCCGCCGACGTCGACGAGACGCTGCACGCACTGCGGCTCAAGGTGACCGAGTACGAGCACCAGAGCGTCCTCGCCCACGCCGAGAGCATCCGGAAAGAAACCCGCGTGCGCGAGCTCGAGTTTCTCTTGGAAGACCGCCGGCAACAGTTGCAGTCGGCGGCGGCGGCGCGCTCGGAGCTCCAGCGGCAACACAAAGTGCTGCAAGACCAGTTGCAGGCGCTACCTCGCCCGTACGAGGCCGAGATTCGGCGATGGCGTGCCAATGTGACCTCGCTCGAGGCCGACAAAGGCGACCTTCTCGTCGACTATGGTCGGCTGGTTGCAGAGCGCGACACGGCCAAAGCCCAAGCAGTCCTTGACCGCGCCAAGGCTGCGCGGTATGAAGTTGGCCTTGGCAACATGGTGCCTCGAGTACGTATGATGTGTGTATCGATTGGTTGCAACAGAGTTCTAGTTTCGGGCGCTTCAAACCGAGTACACGCGCAGCGTGCTGACGACGCGCGCCGAGCTCCAGGCCATGCAGAGCCTCCTTTCGACCACCAGTGTACGTACCTCCTCGCGTATCCTGTCGGATTCGAGTTGCGAGTAGCTTGACATTGACGGCCGGGCACGAGCAATCGTCGCCAACGAAGCGGCGCTGGAAGCCAAGATGCGCGCACTCATCGGCACGGCAATCGGGCGAGACCCTGCTGTACTGTTTGTCTTGCAAATGCTTCATGTACGTGTCTCAAATCATGCATGCGAGATACGACTACTTTGTGCGTCTAGACCAAGCTGCAAGCACTCCGCACGGCGCTCAACGACTTGCGCAAGGAAGCAGCGTCCGCGATCCAGTCGCTCGCCTCGTCCCACGCCACGTATGAGCGTCGATGCCACAAAGGTCCTTAATTTTGTCGCTCGCCTAGAGAGCTCGTTACCTTGCGCCAGCGCGTGAAAAGAGCTCAAGCCAAGTTTTATGCCAAGCCGCCCGTGCTCGTCAAGGGCAAAACGCGGCCAATCGTCGAAACAATAAACGGTGCGACCCAAACGGTGGCTGTAGAACCCACCGAAACGGCGTCGACCAACGACGTCTCAAGCACCCTCGACGAGCTTCTGCGCCCCGTAATCCAATCGACCCAAGCCAAGCTACAACATGTAATGGTCCGAGTCGAGCGACAAAAGCAGCTCCTCCTTCAAGCTAACGAGCGCGAAGCGGACTTGCGCAACCGGCTGCGTGCGTGTGCACCGCCCGACAAAGACAATGTTGGGGACATATATCCGGCGTCGCAACACCTTACAAACACCGAGGATGTTGCGGATGGAAAGCACAGTCAACTCGTGAGCTCGACGCGCACAAAATTGCTGCGAGCTGCGGCGTCCTTGGTCCATCAATCTAGTGTCAACGCTACGTACGCGGTCGATGTCTCGTAGCTTTGACTCTCATATTTTATAGGCAACCAACCAGCACAGCGTCACTGCACTTGGCTAACCACGTGGCAAGTCTCTACGACATGCTGCACGCCAACCTCGACGCGCTCACCGACACGTTGGCGGCGGAGCCATACATTTACACCGACGCGACGAATCGACCTTTGATTCAGAGTCCGAGAAGGGACGGCAGCCGAGACGGGACCATGTCCCCAAACGAACTCAAGGAGGCTCGGGTGCGCGAACTCACAAAGAAGGCGTATTTCTACACGTACCGCTCGCTCGCGCCAACGCCGCCGGCAGAGCTTGAAGAAGAGAAGGCATCCTTTGACTTGGCAGTCCACCACGCAGGGCTGTTGGTCGAAACCGAGACCAGCTCTCGCGTCTCGAGCTCGACTCCTCCGGGTGCACCCGAAGGCATCCACGCACCCGCCTCGGCCCAAGCAGCAGCCTCACACGGGAAGGCTCCAACGACCTTGAAAGACAGTGACATCGTGTGGGCGGACGACTCCCAGTCCCCAAGGTCTGCGGCGACCGAGAGCGACGTCGTCTCAACAAAGGCGCTTCTCTCGGTGAATGGCAGTTTTGTGCATCTCGCCGACGATGTGCGAGCGCGATTGAGCCCGTCGACGCTCAGTGCGTGCCAAGTCGGACTCGCCGACGACCGGCTTACGGTGCACGAGGCGGCGTCCGTGTGTTTGCTCGGTGATCCGGCCCGCGAGACGCTGCTACACCTGCACCCTCCGTCGGCGATGACGCCGGAGACGCATGTGCACGACCTGACTCCGTGGCAGCCAGCGACTCAGTCCCGCGACGCTGTGCCGACGCGGCTACTGCAGCTTCTCGGGTGGGACTTGCACTTTGACGTCGGCAGCCTTGGGCGTAGTCTCCACGGTCGGCCTTGGTTGCTCAAGCACATTCGCAGCGTCTACCACGACAAGTACATTGCCGAGTGCTTAGAACATACGACGCTCCACGTGGTGCTGCCGCTGCCCGAGTTTCTCTTGCGCTGGGCGGCAGTGCAGTACGGTGTCCAGGACCTTGTCGCCAAGGTACTCGATATCGAACACAAATGCATCGTCCCACGTGGCTATGTAGCACTGCGAAGACATCTTATGCGCAGTGAACGCCTACCAGCACACGAGCATCGAAATCGCGCAGTTCGGATCGTTCGTCTCAGAAGCATTTGGCAAGTCGGACTTGTCGGTCTTTCTGCACGCCCGGCAGTTGGTGCGCACACCATGAGTCGACAATAAGCAATATCATTGTTGTCTAGATCATCGACAGCGTTGGCGACTGGACCGCCGCCGAGACAAACGACGACGACAACAACGGAATGATGGCGTCGTACTTGCCGCTCTCGACGGCGCGCGAGATCCTTATGCGGGTGTTTACATGCATGTTGCCGCGGCACCGAGAGCGCGCGATCAAGAGCTTGGAGAAGCACGTATCGGCTCCGCCGCCGCCTCGAAACTCTACACCGCAGCAACCAGCGCCCGAGGTCACGCCTGCACTGGTAGCGGAAGCTACAGTGCCGACGTGGTGTGTCATTCCGCCCGAGGTTGTTACGCCGCCGCTGGACGCGTTTCCGATGGGGCATGTGCGCAAGGCGCCGACACCTCGCTTGCATATTGATATCCCGCCTCTTGCACCCAGTATGGAAATATATGGTCTCTGCTTGGCGACTCATAGGGTCGTCCTTCTAGCGCCCCGGGAGAATGGTGTGGACATCCAAGTGTTTTTGCTCTACCTTGTGCTCGAGTTCCGCGCCGAGCGACGACGTTTCTACGCTCTCTTGCAGCGCCACGTCGTCGCGACCAAAGCCCGCGAGATGGAAAAAGAGGCATTTTTGCACGTGCTCTCGCGGACCACAGAGTGGACCGACGCGGTGTGTCGTCTCGTTTTTGAAGAAGCCGCGGCCGACACGAGTCAGTGCACACGCACGAGGTAGTGCATGTGGTCGCTCAATGACGTTGGTGTGTCATCTCGTCTTGGTAGTTATGGCGGCGTCGCTGTCGACTCGGACCACTTGATGACTGTCGCGCTGCGCTACTACGCCACGCTGTTCGCCCTCGCCCGGTTTCCGACGTCGCCTCCAACGTCGCAGGACCTTGTCGCGCCCGCACCCATGTACCACGACAAAAGCAAGCGGCTGCATGCACTCGACTAATGTTAATATGGTGCAGAATTGCAGAATCGTCATGCTTGCACCGGCCAGATCGTCTCGGCTGCCAGAATGCGAGCGGTGTGTGCGCACTATCGACGCGTGTAGACATAATTCGGCGCGTCAACTGCAGGCGCTGAGAGGCTTGCAAGTCTATAGCGTTACGCCAAGACCAAAGCGTGCGCGGTCGAGAAGATCTGCGTCCGTGCGGCGACGCGGTCGCCAGCGCATGGCGGAGCGCCGTGTAGAGACTGAGGCTCTTGCGCAGCGCGGTCACGGCGGGTTGGCGTCGTGTTGAAGCAGGTGTGCGATGCCGGTAGGGTGGACTTTAGTCTAGATCGAGCTGAGCCGTCGCTGCCATCGCGATGATTCGGATCCAAATGTCGCTTCGAGCGATTGATTGGATTGGTCACTTGATACTATTTTTAGCCAATGGATGGAGGTTTGCATATCGCGCAGGCGCTTCCAGGGCTCTCGATCGCCGAAATTGCGTTTCGAAATGATTTCGCTCAAACTTGGCAAGGGCGTAGCAAATGCTTTTGCTCATAGAGCGCACTATGTTTGGTCGTCGGAAGGGGTCTGGATCGCGCGCCTTCGTCAATCAAAGATAAACAGCATTTGATATTTAGATATTTATGAACGCTCTGTGTTAAAAAGCAATCGCGACGGCTCACCCCCACAGCGGATCGATGGTCATTTTGAGCTGCTTCTCGCGCTCTCGGCTGCGCCGGCACTTTTGGATCTACGTCCGTGTCCCAAATGATCCAGCAGAAGAAGAGGCGAATGACGAGTACCGCCGAGAGGACATTTTGACGCTCCGTGTCGAGCGCGATTTGGAGGTCGGCCACCGCGCTTTGCAGTCGACGGACCTCGGGGTGGTCGTGCACGGCGGCATGTAGCTGGTCCTGGAGCTCTCGGACGGTCGCTTCGTGGGCTTCAGCCGCTCGATGCTATTCGCGACGATGGTAACGAGAAATCAAAAAGTACTATCGTGGACACCTGCTCGAGTACGAGTTGGGCCGCGACCTGCTCGCCAAACTTGATGGTGGCGTCTTGCATTGCCTGCTGGTCGCGGACCTTCTGGAGCAAGTAGATAATGACCGCGTCCTTCTCCGACTCGGCGAGTGCTCCGAGCGCAGACGACGGTGCGGGTTGCACCTGCAGCCGCGCAAGCGCCTTCCGCGGGCTGAACATGGCTCGTGGCGACGTTGGGTGTCCTAATGCATCCGACGTCATGAGGTTCATCAGACTTTCTGCTCCGAGTCGCACGGTCTGCCATGTCTGAAGCCTTTTCCAAATTCGAACACAACGTCCGCAATCTTGTCAACAAAATTTCAATGTATCAAGGTTGCATCTGGAAAAGGGGTGTATAGAATTATAATATATTTCAATCACGACGACAATATGGCTGCGTCTTGCAACATTTACTCGTCCGCATTCTCATTCTCGTCGTCGTCCTCGTCCTCGGCGACCTCTTCTTCGTTGTCGTCTTCGGCGAGCTCCTCGTCGGCCACGTCGGCCGTCGCGTCGACGCCTTCGTTCTTGAGCGCTTCGATCTGGAACGCGTTGAGCTCGTCAAGCGACACGTCCTTGCCTTCCTCGACAAACACCTTTTGCTCCTCGGCCTTGAGCGGCGGCGCAATGAACCACGGCAGCTTGCCGCGAATAAAGTCGTTGATCATCTGGACGGCAACGTTGTTGTGATCGGGCTCGCCCTTGGGGAGGAGCTTCCCGCACTTGGTCGCGAGCTGGTCGAGGAAGTGCCACTCGTCCTTCCACTCGGTGATGCCGTAGACCTTGATAAGGTGCTCCTTCTTGACGCGGTTGAGGATCGCGGCCGTGAACTCGGTCGGCTGCGGCAGCTTCTCGGCGCGGACAACACCCTTGAGGACGGTCTCGACTTCGTCGTCGTTGACGCCGTCGTAGACGACACCGGGGCAATCGATGAGGAAGATGCGGCGCATGAGCGTGATGTACTGCCACACCTTGGTCTCACCGGGAATCGGCGCGACCTTGCAGACGCGCTTCTTGCGGAGCGCGTTGATGACCGAGCTCTTGCCGACGTTGGGGTAGCCAATGATACCGACACTGATCTGCTTCTTCTCCGGGTGGAGCTTGGCAAACTGGCGGAGGAGGTTGATGAGCGCGCCCTTGCCGAACGGCGCGTTGAGACTCGCGTGGAAAGCGAGCGTCGGCGTCGTCTTGGAGAGGATCTGCACCCACTTCTTCGTGACCCAGTTGGGCACGAGATCGCACTTGTTGATGACGTAGATGAGGTGCTTGTGCGCAGCGTTCGTCTTGAGGTGCTTGTCAATGTGGTCCGAGCGCGTGCCCGGCACGTTGCGCGCGTCGAGGACCTGGATGACGACGTCGGAACAGTCGAGCACCTTGTAGAGCTCGCCCCAAATGCGCTTACTCTGGCCCTTGTTGAAGACATCGTGCGACTTCTTGTCCTTGAACTCGACCTCGACGGCAATGTTGCGATCGACACCCTTCGTTTCGTACGACTCGGCGCGCTCGCTGGCCTTGTTGACGAGGCTCTCGAGGTCCGAGACAGCGCCGAGCTTGGCGCGCTTGCGCGTCTTCTTGGAGCCAAACGTCTCTTCAAAGCTCTCGGTTTCGAGGAGCTTCATGCGCGTGACCTTGGCCGAGTCCTGGATGAGGCCCATGGGCAGCTTGCGCGTGCGGAGCACAACCGAGTACGGGTCGGCGGCCTTGACGCTCATTTCGTTGCGGAACTTGTCGAGCTCCTTCTGGCCCACGACGCGCGTGTTGCCGAACCAGCGGCGATCCGGCGCAATGCGCGACGGCGCGTCCGCGTTCTGCATCGTGATACCGCCCTGGCGGCCAGCCATCATGAGGCTACCGCCGACGATCTTGCCTTCGCGGTTGCGGATCGGGCCCGAGTTGCGGTACATGTTGAGGCGGTTGATGGTGCCCTTGTCACGCATGTTGGCGGCCTTCTGGCGCTTGGGCACCTTGCGGTTCGGGTTGTCGGCGCTGGCGCCCTTGGTGTTGATGCCCATGCGCTTCTTCGGGATCTTGGCGGGCGGCATGATGGTGCGACGTCCGGAGCAACTTGGCGATTGACCCTCTCGAGCAAATGACCCGGTCAACCTACTGCTTGTGGGCCAATCAACTGACCTTGGCCTTTTCGTAAGGCGATGGATTTTATTTTGTTTTCATTTTTCTTCCCATGTATATGTATCGACTCAAAAAATCTATGCTTTATATTGCATCGTCGCACCGAAATAAATTACGAAGCTGGCTTTTTGACCAATCCCAAACACGAGAGACGCGGCGCTTGGATTGGTGCAAATGCAACGCAAGCAGCGTTTGGATTGGTCACTGGAAAGATTTGGGTCTAAAAATAGATTGAAAGGGCAAGTGCTTTGACTGTGCGCAGGACGCGGTGGGTCGAAAGCGCCGCGTTCTTGACCAAGTTGCCTCTTCACCACTTGCTGCTTAAGGCCCAAGCGATGTGCCTCTTCCAAATGATGAGCGCCCGCCTGGCTTCGTGACCACCTCGCCCCCGCTGCGCCATCCATACGCCTCGCCTTCAACACGGCTAAGCCTCGCCGCTGCTGCCGTCTAGCACAATACGCTCGAAAATCCACTCTCGAAACCAGCTCAGTGTAAATTATATCGAAATAAACGCACTTCATAGCCGCCTCTGTGTCCGCTAGTATCGTCCTTGTTCGTTGCGAACGACCGTCAAGATATGGCTGCAGAGAGATCCACGGCAGTGACGACGAAGGAGGGACCCAGAACTCGACTAGTCGTGCAGCGCAACAGCCTCGCCGAGCTATTGTAGTACATCAGCTCGCGGCGACACCGAATGGTGACGTTGAGGAGCTTATGTCCAGTGCATATCAAGGAGCTTGCCACTTTGGCAATGCCGACATTGCAGACTTTGGTGCAGTTGACAGCTTGTTTGGCTCAAGCGAAACGAAACTATGTCTACGGTTTGCGTCGAACTCGCAACCGGTCTCGGCACACTGTC